TTCATTTGGGAGTACCTCATGAAAAAAATTTACAATGTCCAAAATATGATTGCTAGATGTCATGGTCCACTTACCCCTACAACCACTAATCTACTAGAAGAAATGAAAATGCATGCAACAAAAAACAAGTGCATTTTTAATGGGGCTGATACAACTCAGGTTACTAGTCAATGGGGTGACTAATATGTTGTAAATTTGAAAGAGATAACTTGAAGTTGTAGGCACGGGAAGATTTGAAGCATGCTTTCCAAAAATCTTGAATCATTCCACAAATACATTTCTGGCACTCAAAGCTTCCAGTGACAAAATGAAGAAAAAACAACTAAAAAATAAGATGAACTTCAAAATCCTTGCTTCCATACGAACTTGTTGAAGGGATTCTTGCATGTTGTTTATGGATCTTATGTCATCCAACGATCTAAGGCACATCGGTGGATCAACTTATCCAATCCATATGCATCTTGTACCATAACGCCCATAAAAGAAAATTTTCCTACTGATATTGAGATTAGACCACAAGGTAACCATCACGACCAGGCTTCCACAAGAACATTCACGAGGTAACCATAATTGTTAGGCTTCCATAATAACATTGCACCATCTTTACTATAATCGATTAAACCTTCTTATCGTTGTGATAACTTTAAAGAGGAAGAGATACTTAGATTATAAAGCAAGAAGAAGGAAGAAGATGGAAGCATGTATACGTTGAAGACCCTCGAGTGAAAAGTTTAAAATCCCCTCACTTGCAAGGCACAAGGCCACAAGGGGCTACTTAACTGGGGTCTTAAACAATAGTTACATATAAAGACAGGGCCGGTTGATTCCCAGTACGAGGTGGATAAAAAAGGCCCTTAGGCCTTAACATGTAACGAATTAAGTTACATAAACTAATTTTTTTTATTAAAATGACGATAAACTTTATAGCAATAAAAATAGAAAAATCATAGTATTTTAATGAGTAATTACATATCCTAACACCTAACCGACGATCCGTGAAGCTCTTCTAGCATTCTTGATAGCAAATTGGTTGATCAACTCTTTATAGTCTATACTCTCTAAGATTTCGTTCTCGATAGATATCATCAACAACCCACTAAGTCTTTCTTGGGTCGTTGTGGAGCGTAAGTAAGATTTCACAAACTTCAATTTCGAAAAACTCATTTCTGCAGATGCAACTGTTACTGGAACAGTCAACAATATTCTATATGCAATTCTTGCATTTGGGAAATAATCAAGTTCTTTCAAAAACTTCAAAACATCTATAGGGTTTCTAAATTCATTGGTTTCTAATGTCTCAAATAATTTCAACTCCGTATAAAATGCCGTCATCAATATCCAATATTTCATCAAACTTGAGTGCTTTTTCAAGACGATGACAATACGACTTAAGATCTTTATCTTCAATTCCCCTCAAATTATGTGGAAATAAAAAACCAAATACTTTGTCATACTCTTTGAATTGTTCAAATCTTGTCTCAAGAGAAGAAATAGCTTGATCAACAATGTATAAGAAGTAATTGAGTCTGAAATTATCTTAAGGTGTAAATGAAACTTCTTCGCTAGTTGAACTCTCATCAAACATTTTTTCCTTTCAATCAAATGCTTTTGTGGAAATATTGGATCAATACCCATTTCAATAGCAACCTCCTTAGCTTCAACAATCGCTTTTGAAAAACCAGTTTCTCTATAATCCTTGAAGTACCCAATCAATTTGTTTATATTTGTAATAGCATTATCAAAATGCATATCATTTGATTGTAACTTCTTACTCAAAATATTCACATGGTTTAATACTTCATACCAAATAACAGTTGATACCAAAAATTCAAAGTCACCAAATTCTTTTTTTGCTAGTGAAGTTGCTTCACTTGCAATTGCAGCATCATTATCTTTTTCTCCAATTTGAAGTAAAGCTTCCCATACATCCACAAGTTGAAGTTCAATAGCCTTTACACTCTCAACCCGACTTTCCCAACGAGTTTGACACAATGACTTAAGACTCCAAGCTTTAAAATTATCTTTCAAAATTTCCCACCTCTTAGTAGAATTTGAAAGATAGTATAAATGCGTTGGATGAATCCAAAAAAGTTTTTTCCTTTAACACATTTGTTAGCCATATCACATAATGTTAGATTAAGAGAATGGCAACCGCAAGGAGTGTAAAATGCTCTAGGATTTATATCTAAAAATCTCTTTTGCACTCCTTAGTGTTTTCCTTTCATGTTTGTTCCATTATCATAGTCTTGACCACACATATCATCAATTTCAAGACCAAAAGACTTTAACTCCAAAAGTGTAATATCAAATAGTCTTTTTCCGGATGTATCATTAACATTAAAAAAAAACCTAAAAAGGACTCCTCGACAGTAACAAAATTATATGATAACTTTAAATACCTCACTATTATAGTCATTTGTTATTGGTGACTTGAATCGGGAGTACAATCAAGTATGATTGAATAGTACTTTGTTTCCTTTATCTTCCTCATAAGTTCTTTTTTAATTTCTTGAGCTAGCAAATATATTAGTTCTTTATGGATTAAGTGGTCGAGATAATGCACATAAAGCCCAACACTTATGATCCGCCGCACATACTCTTTGATAACCAAGTCAAACTCTTCCAACATTTCAATGACACCCAAAAAATTTCCATTACCTATTAAATACAAGTAACAAATAAGAAGTGTAATCAATCATAATAATTAACAAAAAGGTATTTGGTGGAATTAGAACAAAAAAATTACAATTTATAGTTACCCTTTTTATACAACTTTTCATTGGATCCACAAAATGCTAAATTATATTTAGCAAGAAACTTCACTACTACAATGATTCTCAGAATGACTTGTTTCAAGTAATCTTTCTTTCTTGAATTGCTCGTATTGAACTTTATCAATTGTTTCATTCAAGTTCAATCTCTTACGCATATCAAACCACTTATTCTTATTTGTAAGATGATCCAATGAAATTTCGCGTTCTTTAACCCTAGTGGTAACATGGTGCTAATCTGCATAACCTTCACCATCCAATTTACCTTTTAAAATCCCTTTTCTAAACACTTTACAACAGAAACAAAATACTGTGTCTAACTCTTTCAAATATACTAGTCATTCTCTATCACACTTCTCCAAATTTGGTAAAGTTCTTGCATATAAAGCTGCCGAAAACCGTTTACCAAATTTATCGTAGGGACCAAAAATAATACTATTATCTCTTTTAGGACATTTCTCGACTAAAAGTTTAATCTCCTCAGAATTAAGTTTTTCCCACCTTCTTGGATCATATATATCAACAAGCTTTTTAACGGACTCTTGCTCTTCAATGTGCTCTTCAACTGGTTGTCTATGGATAAACTTATCTAGAGCACCGTCGTCAGTCTTTCTCTTTTCTTCATCTAGTTTTTTTTTTCAACTACCGGTGGTTATTTAGACTTCACCACTACAATTTTACTAACAATAAACATAAATTGAAAATTTAATAATCAGATAACCTGATCTCTTATAAACAATTTTACAATTAACATAATCTAGTAATCTTATAAAGTGGTATTGATTCTTTAAACACTTTGGTTTCTGAATTCTGAATTTCTGATAAACAGTTATACAATAAACATAATCTCTTAATTTAATTTCAGTTTCTAATAAGCATTAATCTATTTCCGAATCATTCATTCAACATTGTGAATCAGCCAATCAAATTTCAATCTCATAATATGACAATATGACATAGTCACTGGCGGACCTTTATTAAGGCGGATGGGGGGGGGGACCAATTAAAATTTATTAGGACCTGATTTTTTGGTTGGAAACAGTCATTATAGTTTTATTTTATATATTTTAGACCCAAAATATAAAATTTTGGTTGTGCCCCCACCCCCCCCTGTTTACCAATTTTATACATATTATATTTTCGGCCCCCCGATCCAAATATTGAAGCTTTGCCCCTGGACATAGTGATAAACAATTAAACTGATTTCCATGGACCATGAATCTGAAAAATTGATAATCTATTTATTCTATAATTCATTCAGACATTCAAGTATGCAGTTGACAATTATAAACTACTAATCCTCATTCCTCATTACTTAATTTCTCATAATCCATTACAGTATCTGTATTACTGATTAGCAGGACTAAGAATCATTGATAAAGTGATAACAGGATGATCGAACCTCACCCCTGGCTGTCTCGATGAGTTGTTGTGGGTGTCTCGCTGAGGCCTGATGCCCTGATCGGCTAATTTGCTGTCGTTGGACGCCTGGAAGCTACAATGTTTTTTTTAACGACAACAAACACAACGTGATGCATTGAGTATTGATCGTTGCTGGCTTCTGTATGACATTGCTTCTTTCGATGATGCTGGATTGTTGGGGCAGTTGGGCTAAACCGATACATCATACATACTATTAAAAGAAATTGGCCCCTTAAATTATGGGCCCTGTTTCATTGTCCATCTTACACATGTCCTAAACCGGACCGGTATAATAACATTGGGTTTACAAAAACTCATAGTTCTGCAAAGATTCATAATAAACATTAGAATGAATTTTTAGACCCACAAAGATCATTTATTTCGTTGAGAAAAGACAATGAATAATAACTAAATTTTTTAATTATTCTATCAAACCAAAATTTTTAAGGAAACTTAACACTTACCATTCGACTATATTTAAATTGTAGATATTTTAAATCGTTTTACTTAAAACATTACAACGTTGTCACAATATCATTAGATTTTAATAAATCTAGCATATAATTGGGTTTTGGTAAAAGTATTTTAATTTTTTTCGATACTAAAAAAAAAAATTAAAAGTCACCGTTCAAAACTTTTAAAAGTATTTAAATAACCTAAATAAAATAATTGTGAAACCCAATAATCTAAAATCTTAAATTTAGATAGATTGTGTAATTTTTTTGTAATACACAAATTTAAAAAAATAAAAAATCGAAGACAGCTAGTAACACGCGGTGTCAGGTTTTCTTGCCCAATTCAAGTGATTCACACCTCAGCTCCCTCCTCGTTTCCTCTCTTCGTTATATACGCTTTTCCTTTTCTCTCTCTAAAACACAAAAATTCAAAACATGGCTTCCAGCTTCTCTCTCATCACCACCACACTCCTCCTTCTCGCCACCATTACCGCCGCCCAAACTCCAACTCCAACTCCACCGTCACCCCCACCAGCGTCCGATTCCTGCAACGGCGTCTACTTATCCTACACTTTCACATCCGGATCCAAGCTCCCACCAAACCGAACATCAAATCAACCCTATCGCTTCGAATCAACCCTCAGAGTCCTCAATAACGCCGACGAAGAGCTTAAATCGTGGAGGGTGTTTGTGGGTTTTCAGCATGATGAGTACTTGGTGTCTGCTTCTAATGCTGTAATTGCTGATGGGTCTGCTACTTTTCCGGGTCCGGTTGGAAACGGCACCGTTTTTGCTGGGTTTCCAAGTGCCGATCTCAAGACTGCTATTGAAACTGCTGGAGATGTGAATCAGATGTCGGTTCAGGTCGATTTTGTGGGTACGCAGTTCGGAGTCGACTCGCCCGCTGTTCCTATGCCTTCAAATATTTCTCTAGTGAATGATGGCTTTGTTTGCCCTAGACCTTCTATGCAAGGTAAATTTCTCTTCATTTATGCATTATAACCTTACCATAGCTTACCATGGATGAAAAGGATTATGATCAGAGATTGCTCTGTTTGATAATTTTTAAAAACTATCATTTGACTTCGTTGTCTACTATTTGAGTAGATCAGTGGAGCGTTCTTATAGATCTGATCTTGGTTTATATGTGGTCGTATCACTGAAGAAACTAACTAATCTGATCTTACTCGAAGTGGGTTATTTTGAATTGCTTGAAATTTGCCATGGTCTAACTTAGTGTGTGATGAATTGCTTGAAACTTACTAGTCTTTCTTGATTTCAATTGTTTGAACGTTTCTAATCAAGGGTTCTTTGTTACAATCTACTTGAATTTGTTTCTGTTTCAAATCTTTAAAAAGTTTGAACTTTGTTACCTTCAAGCAATTGATCAGCAAATTCTTTGGTAGTTCCATCTTCCATGAATAGATAATTTTATAGATGTTTGACTTTCTTGAAATGGTTTCTTTTATTAATTGCTTAAAAACTTGCAGGATTGAACTTTTCATTGTGATGTAATTTTACCTAATTTTAACTTCTTTAAAATACTATCTTGTTTTTAATTGCTTGACTCATTTATTCAAGGGCTCTTCTTGATTCATTCTTACTTAGATCAAGTCCATAATTGAAAATCAACAAATTCTTTTATAATTGGTTCTATGAACACACAATTTTACTTGATCGATATATTTGACTAAATCTTGTTGAATTTATTAAATCTTGCTAGGAACCCGAGTGATGCAAGTATGTTGCAGAAAAGATCCAAACGCTTTAACCAACATAACCACACAAGACGAATTTCTCCCACGCCAATCTGGCGATCTAACAATCGCATACGATATAATCCGAACATACGAATCAAATTATTGGGCCGAAGTCACAATCGAAAATCACAACGCACTCGGACGCCTCGATAATTGGAACTTAACATGGGATTGGATGCGAGACGAATTCATAAACGACATAAAAGGCGCATACCCTTACACCCGTGATTCATCCGAATGTATATTCGGTCCACAAGGCGCATTCTACCAGCAAACGGATTTTTCAACCGTTCTAAATTGTGAAAGATCCCCTACTTTAATCGACCTACCCCTCGAAATGACCAACAACACACAACGAGGAATGATCCCGTTTTGTTGCCGAAACGGGACGATTTTACCCCCGACAATGGACCCCACAAAGTCAAAATCCGCTTTTCAAATACACGTTTACAAAATGCCCCCCGATTTAAACCGATCTGAACTCATCCCGCCTCAAAATTTCAAAATCTCCGGGCGGTTAAACCCGGATTACAAATGTGGAGCGCCGGTTCGGGTCAGCCCGACTGAGTTCCCCGACCCGAGCGGACTCCCCGGGCCCACCGCGGTCTCGTCTTGGCAAGTTGTATGTAATATTACACAAGCGAAAGATTCGAGCCCGCGATGTTGTGTCTCGTTTTCTGCGTACTACAACGAGTCAATCATCCCCTGCCCGACTTGCGCGTGCGGCTGCCCGAATTCTCGAACGTGTAGCGCGACCGCGCCCGCGATGTTTCTACCCGCCCAAGCTTTGCTTGTTCCGTTTGAGAATCGGACCACGCTCTCGACCGCGTGGGCTTCTCTCCAACGTCGGGCAGTTCCCAACCCGCTGCCCTGTGGGGACAACTGTGGGGTCAGTCTTAATTGGCATTTGCTGACCGATTATCGGGGCGGGTGGTCTGCCCGGATTACTCTTTTCAATTGGGATGATTCTTCGTTTGCTGACTGGTTTGTTGCGGTGGAAATGGACAAATCTGCCCCTGGGTTTGAGAAGGCGTATTCGTTTAATGGGACTGGGATTGAATTGCATGGGGTTAATGATACGATATTTATGCAGGGTTTACCCGGATTGAATTATTTGGTTGGGGAAGTTGACGGGGATAATCCGAAGAGGGACCCACGGGTACCCGGGAAACAACAATCGGTGATTTCGTTCAATAAGAAACTGACACCTGGCATTGATGTAGCTGGTGGGGATGGGTTTCCGGTTAAGGTTTTCTTTAATGGTGAAGAGTGTGCACTTCCGAGGGTGCTTCCGACGAGCAGTGGTTTCCGGCGGGGCTCCGGTGTGGTGGTTTCCGGTATTGTGGCGGTTGTTATGGCAGTGATATTGATGTTGTGTTAGTTGGTATGGATGTGAAGATTGATTTTTTTTGTAGAATTGTTTAATTTTTTTTAATGAGAAGGAAAAGATCGTATAGAGAGACTCATTTGTATAGAAATGTTGTAATATCATACTTGCTGCTTATTTATCGTCTTAAACCATCATATTTGACATTCACTATTAAAACATTTTTTGGTTGTCCACCATTTTATTTCACTTTCACTAATGAAACCATTTATATTTTTTTCTGCTTGATAGTTGACTGTTTTAACATGCTATATATCATGTTAAAGTTAAAGTGATCACAAGAGTTGTGCAATCTTTGTTTTTTCAATGGCATATAGATTTGGGGATAACTTCTTTAATAGTAAATCTCAAGGTTTTAAATAACGTAACGCGTGACTTGGCGGCAATGTCAAACCTCAAGCTTTTCTGAGACTTGGCGAGCCACGTCGTTTGTAAGGCGTGACTTAATGCAGTAATTTTGTATATAATTAATATTTTTATATGTATTTTCAACTATTTTTCTATTTTATACATATATATGAGTTAAGGCGGCATTTTGATAAAACTTTGCGGCAGATACAACTGTACAAGCCTTGGAGTCATAATGAGCTTTTTAGAACCTTGGTAAATCTTCACACCAAATGTCCTTCCAAAAATATGTTTTATCTTCTTTCCAACCACGTTTGTAAATAAACTAGCCAAAGTAATTCCTTTATCTTCAAACTTCAGATCACTTTGAGGAATGAACTTCCATTTTCTTTGTTAATTTAATCGCATGTACAAGAATATATATACATGTAGCATACAAACAAACTATTAATCTACAACCTATTATCCAAGATCTAGATAACATTTATATCTAACTACCCTTCCTTATCTTGCTCTCGTTAACACTCCTCATCAAGGTGGTTGATGTATGTTCATCATTCCCAACTTGTCAAGAGAGCAATGGAAGACTCTCCTACATACGACTTTCGTAAGCATGTCTGGAAGTTGATCTTCAGAAGCAACATGAGGAAGCTCAACAGTTTTCTTTTCAAGGTGGTCCTTGATAAAATGTTTATCTATTTCTACGTGTTTAGTCATGTCATGTTGGACTGGATTATTGGTTATTTTCACAGCAGACTCATTATCACATTGTAGTTGCATCAGAGCTGTTAGAGATATCCGAGATCTTTTAAGACCCTTTTATCCATAGGAGCTCGCATACACCATGGACCATTCTTGTAAATTCTGTTTCTGCACTCGATCTCGATACAAACTTCTGTTTCTTACTTCTCCATGTAACAAGATTTCCACCTACAAATGTGAAATATCGTGAAGTGGACTTCCAATTTGTTCGATCTCCAGCCCAATCTGCATCCGTGTATCCACTAACTTGGTGGTCTCGATTCTTTCCAAAAAATAACCCTTTTCTTGGTGATGATTTGAGGTACCTTAGAATTCGGTACACTGCATTCATATGATCTTCACTTGGAGCATGCATGAACCGGCTAACAACACTTACAACATACGATATATCCGGTCTTGTAAGGTACAAGTATATGAGCTTTCCCACTAGTTTTTGATACCGATCTTTATTAGTGGGAGCTTGGTCCGGAAGAATTGTCAACTTGTGGATGGTTTCAATAGGTGTATCAGCGGGTTTACATTCCAACATACTAGTCTATGTAAACAAATCTAGCACATACTTCTGCTGGCATATCGAGATTCCGGACTTCAATCTGGCTACTTCAATCCCTAAGAAATACTTTAGGTGTCCAAGATCCTTGAGTTCAAATTCAGTAGCCAGGATTGATTGGAGCCTTTCCATTTCTTTTGTATCGTTTCCAATGACAACCATATCGTCAACATACACTATCAAGGCTATCACTTTTCTGGTGTTGGATTTCACGAATAAAGTATGATCTGTGTCACTTTGTTTATACCCGATTTGCTTCATGGAGTTTGAGAATCTGCCAAACCATGCACGTGGAGACTGTTTCAGCCTGTATAATGCTTTCCTTAGATTTCATATCTTCCCATTACATTCGATGCCTGGTGGTGGATCTATGTATACTTCTTCTTCAAGATGCCCATTTAAGAAAACATTCATTAAATCATATTGTTTGAGAGCCCAATCTTCATTTGCAATGATGGAGCCAAGGACATGAATGATGTTAAATTTTGCTACCTGTGCAAAGGTGTCTCCATAGTCAATTCCATATTTGTGTGTATCACTTCGCCACTAATCTCGCATTGAATATGTCTATTCTTTTTCCTGGGTCAAGCTTTACGGTGTATACATCTCACTGTCTTCTTTCCACTCAGAAGCTTAACTAACTCCCATGTTTGGTTCTTTTGTAACGCCTTCATCTCTTCATTCATTGCTTGCTTCCATCTTTCGTCTTTCACAGCTTCTTGCACGTTGTTTTGCATAGAGACTGTAGTCAATGTATCAACTAGCAATGCATGTGAGCTTGCGAGGCGATGATGTGACACGTATTTGGATATATGATACCTTCCTTTGGCTTTTACAAATGACACATACTGTTTCTTTGGTATTCCTATGGTACTCCTTATGGGGTACCTTGGATCAGTTTCTTTGTCTAAAACCTGCACAGAAGAGCCATACACAAATTATGCTATGTTAGTATTTACATCTTCATCATTTCCCGTGACCGGGTGTGGTTCTGTGATGACAGGATCGGGTTCGGTGGTGACATTAGGATCGGGGCCTGTACTATCGGACAAACTACTCATAGCTTCATCTTCACTGTCTTCTTCCTCGTTGTTGTTAAGTTCGAAAGGTTCCGTGCCTGTGTCTTCGACGAAAAGTTCGTTTGTTTCATCATTATGGGGATTCAATTTTGCTTGTCTCTCCCCCTGAAGGGAATCCTCATGATCAAAGTATTTCATGGTTTCATGAAATGATACGTCTCGAGCTACATATATTTTTTTCAATCGGGTCATAACATCTATACCCTTTCTTGTAGTCCACATATCCTACAAGAGAAAAATCGAAGGGCTCGTGGTTCGAGTTTTCCTATGTCTTGGTGAACATAGGCAGTGCAACCAAAGATTCTTGGTTCCAAATCATTGTGAGGTGGCTTATCAACAATTTTATGCAATTTTTGAAGTGGCGTTTTGAACTCTATTACCCGAGACGACATACAATTCATAATATATGTAACATATCGAACCGCTTCTCCCCAATACTTTCGTGGTACATTCATGTCAAAAAAAGATGCACGAACGATTTCAAGGATCTGTCGATTCCTTCTTTTGGCCAACCCATTTTGTTGGGGTGTTCTAGTTTGGTGTTTGATTGATTTTTCTTGGTAAAACTATTCCATTTCGTGGTTGATGTATTCCCTGTCGTTATCAGACAGTAGGACTTGGATATCTTTCTTGTATTCAGTTTTAACGATTCTATGTAATTCTTTGAATGCACGGATAACTTCTCCCTTGTTCTTTAAAAGAGATATCCAGATCATCTTAGTACATTCATCTATAAATGTTACAAAATATATTGCACCACTTGCGGTAGGAATCAGAGCTGGGCCCCAAGCATCATAATGAATTGTCATGAACGAAACTATAGTTTTATTAGTGCTAGGAACATATGAAACTCTTTTGCTTTTTTTTTTGCTAACTCACATATTCCACAACTGAATTCACTATCAGGTACATTAAAAAAAAAATTGGCTTAAGTTTCCTAAGATATGTAACGCTTGGTTTAGGTACTGGTCAGTTTTCAACATTTTTAGAGTTTTGGGCTGGGACTCGACGAGTTGCGGAGCTCCAACTCTTCGAGTAGAAATGATATTGGACGCGGGATGAAGGACCTACTCGACGAGTTGGAAGGCACCAACTCGACGAGTAGGAGCTGAAAAGGGAAACCCTAATTTTCAGGGTTTGTACCCTATTTAAAGGCCTTAAGCCTCACTTGTAGCCTCCCTTATTCCCCCCTTTGTCCAGAGAAACCCTAAATCGTGTATCATCTCCCATTTTGTGTGTATGTGAGCTTGGAAAATGATTATTGGTGCTCTTTTGGAAGGAACTTGAAGCTTGCTGAGGTTAGATTGAGTGGAAGGCAGTAGATACGGGATTTCCTCCAGTGTGGCAACCATTTTAAGGTATAAAGTCGAAACCTTGACCTTCCATTGCCTAGATCTCCTTCTATGAAAGTTAATGGCCATTATTAGCCTAGTTTGTTACTGTAACACCCATAAAATTCAAGCCAATTTAAAACTTTTTAAAACATTTAAAACCATTAAGGAGGTACACGATCAAGCCTTCGCCTTCCCGCGATCATCAGAAGTACCTGAAACAATAATCGATAAATGTAAGCTCGAAGGCTTAGTGAGTTACCCACAAAATACCAATTCCATACAGATATAACCATATCATATAAACAAACACAACATGCATAATGAGCCATCAGTCTGACTGGACAGCCTCCCGGTCCTCAGTATCTGGACCGCCCTCATCGGGGCCTTCAGCCTATCCGGACCGTTCGTCGGACCTTCGGTCTGACTGGTTTTCCCTGCCCAGGCCTACAGTCTATTCGGTCCGCCCTGGGTATCTTGGCCTACAGCACACAGCAGGACCTGCCTCAACCCAATCCCCCAAACCAACAAACATGTGCACATAAATATCATACGCTAGCATGCAATAACAGATAGTCATACAGATCTAACAGATCACTAACATGGCAACCATCCTATAACCAGGATATCGATCTAACTGATCTCTAACATAGCGACCATCCTACAACCAGGATATCAATCTAACAGATTACTAGCGTAGGAACCATCCTAAAACCAGGATGAAATCTAACAGATCATTAACATAGCAACCATCCTAAAACCAGGATGAAATCTAACAGATCAATAACATAGCAACCACCCTAAAACTAGGATGCAAATCATAAAGGGTCGGCCTTGGTGCCGTAGACCTTGTTGATATAGTGAGGAGAACTCACCTGACACTGCTGAAGTCCCGCAGATAAAACTCCAGCTGCTGGTTGACAGATTGCCGAATTGTCAACATCAAACAATACCCAATTAATAATTGGGTTTCAAGCCCAAGGTCCAACTCACACTCCAAGGCCCAAAAGTCAAGTAATGGACCAAAGCCCATCATATGGCCCAATTTTCCAAATT